AGTAAAAAAAAAAAAAAAAAAAGAAGGAACTCTTATCATTTGCAACAGCATGGATAGACCTAGAGAGAATTATGCTAAGCAAAATAAGCCAGTCAGAGAAAGATAAGTATCACATGATCTCATTCATATGTGGAATCTAAGGAACAAAATAAACTGATGAACAAAATAGATCCAGAGACATAGAACCATGAACAGACTGATGAATTTTCAGAGGGAAGATTTAGGTTGGGGGTAGAGGTGGGGTTGGGGGAAGAGATTAACCAGGGAGATTAACCTATATGCATATATGCATAGCCCATGGACACAGGCAACAGTGTCGGGGGAGGAGAGGATCAATAGGGAAAAACAACAGCAACTAGAAAACAAAGTGGACATCTGTAATACTTTCAACATTAAGATAAATTTAAATCAATCAATATTTTTTTAAACATGGATCATATCGTAATATAAACTCAATATGGCAGACAGGGAGAAATCTAGCAAGGCCTGTTTGTTGGACTTCCCTCTGTTTCAGGGGGACGAGACTTTGTTAGGCAGGTTTGCTCTTTCTCATCTACTTGTGAATTACCTGCTTTCCCTTTGAAATCCCAGAATGCTGCCCCCCTTCTCCTTTGTGCAGAATGGCATACAAGCCCTCAACTGCCTAATGTTTTTATGGCACCCCAGAGGTACATTTGTAATAAACTTTGGGCATTTCTCCTCTTAAAAAAAACAAAGGAAAATACTCTAGTATTAATGCAAAAACCTAAATCAAGGGCTGGAAAATGTTCTATAAAGATAAAATGTCAAATAGTAAACATTTGGGGCTTTACAGGCCACTGCTATCTCTATTGCAATTAACTATGTTACAGATAGAAGCAGCCATAGACAATATATGGACAAATGGGTATTGCCGGGGTTCTTGTCCCAGCATCAAGAAGGGTTCAGGAAACTGGAGAAGGCTGTGCACAGATTCAATAGGAATCCAGAGACTAATAAAGAGTCCGGAGACAAAATATAATTTTGAAAGGCATTGGGGGTCAGAGGAGCTTAGCTAAAGGAGCTAAGTTCTAAGATCTTAAGTCTAAGGCCTTAGGTTCTCTCTGTCTCCAGGACCCCATGGTTTTTATTAACACAACTTGTCCTGAGTCGAGGCAGAGATATACACTTCAAAGGGTCAGGGTTTGGTACAGAGTCCATTGTCAGAATGGGGGAATTAGCCTATGGCTGTTCAGGTGTTTGGCCAGTAGGAGGCAATAACATGTAGATTAAGATGCCCTTTAACTGACTGGCAGCCACAATCAATTTAATGTATCCTATTCAGGTTTGGGGAAATGCCTTCAGCCATTCCCAAAAGGTGACTACATGTGTGACTCAACCCTGTTTGGTCCCCAAGTCTCATCAACCTTTTGATGAAACTCTTGAAATTATGACATGCTGGAATTGGTTCCCAGCAGGGTATGGCTGTGTTCAATAACACTTTATTTACAAAAACTTTCAATGGTCGAATTTGACCTGAGAGCCATTTCCTAACTGACCCCTGAACTAAATCTACATGGTTTAGGATACTTCATATATCATGGCTGGATTACAATCCCATCCATTCTTTCTTTCCAGCAGCCAGAAGTAGAAAAAAAGTGTCATAGCAATATGGTCATGAATATGAGTTATGGAACTCTTATTGGTGAGGGTGAAATTATCTGCAAAGAACAGAAAAGATTTCTATCTGCATTGGATCTGTGACCTCTTTTGTAGGTCAGTATATGAATACTACAGGCCTAGTGCAAGAAATTCATGCACGGGGGGTGGGGGGACGGGGGGCAGGGGCGGGTCCCCAGCCCGGTCTGCACCCTCTCGCAATCCGGGACCACTGGCTCCTAACTGCTCGCCTGCCTGCCTGATTGCCCCTAACCACTCACCTGCCTGCCTGATCACCCTAACCACTCGCCTGCCTACCTGATCACCCCTAACCACTCTGCCTTGGCCCCCGCCACCACAGCTTCGTCAGGAAGGATGTCCAGAATGATGTCTGGAAGGCCATTTGGCTGTCCGGTCTAATTAGCATGTTACTCTTTTATTATTATAGATTATAAACAAGATGAAATAAAGAGATATATAGTGCTACGAGAGGATCATTTCATAGTTTCATTCAGAGGTAAAAACATCGGTTCATGTGTCTTTGCAATAAATTTTAAAAGGGAGTTTAATATTAAAGCTTGAACAATTCAGAAATAACTGTCATGAAGTTACACGCTTTGCATTGCAGTTCTCCTTCAGTGATTTCCTACACACTTTTATAGAGAGTTGATTCTATGGCAGTATAGTTCCAAGAACCAGTTCCATTTGCCATGAATTTAGTGGTTACAAGTAAATCATGGTGAACCCTATGCAGTCCAAAATTTTGAGGAAGCATAATTGTTAAAAACAAGCTTTCTGTAGTTCTACCTTGTCATGGTCCCTTCAGAAACAACTTTGAGGTTAAGGAATGAAAGATTCTAGTTAGATTCAGGTGATTTCAGACATTCACATGGTGAAAACAGATGCCCCTCATGAGTGATCCAGAACAAAAGCAAGAAAACTGAAGAGTATGGAATGTGCAGAACACTTGTGGCATTTCCTCATCCCTTGTAACTGTGAATAGATATGTGCAGCAACATTGAACTGAGAAAAGTATTACTATTAAGGGTTCAAATCCATAAGGATCAAGGCTTGGGTCATATCTCCGGAAAAATCACCAAATCTGCTGATGGGATCGCTGAAGGTGAAGGTTATTTAGAGTGGACAGTGGAGGAGGGAGAGGATAAGTACCAGTTGAGGTCCGCAATGAATAATAGTGACAGAGGCTGAGCTTTATCCCACTATTTTCCTTTTCTGAGTTTGCCTTTAGGGCAGTGATGGCGAACCTTTTGAGCTCGGCGTGTCAGCATTTTGAAAAACCCTAACTTAACTCTGGTGCCGTGTCACATATAGAAATTTTTTGATATTTGCAACCATAGTAAAACAAAGACTTATATATTTGATATTTATTTTCTATATTTAAATGCCATTTAACAAAGAAAAATCAACCAAAAGAATGAATTCGCGTGTCACCTCTGACACGCGTGTCATAGGTTCCCCATCACTGCTTTAGGAAGAAGAATCCATGAGAATCAGGGAGGAGATATCTTCAGACCTAGATGAAGTAAATCTACATGACACAAAGGGCCGATTTAGAGGGCCTGAGGCTATTTTCTGGGAGCACAGGCTCAGGCAAAATCAACTTTGCTCTGTGTTAGACCCAGTGAGGTGACTCTTACGCAATTGTACAGCAACTACCTTTATTATGACCCATGAGGCATAGGTTGTCAGAGGCATTAAAGAGAAGAGGCCCAAAACGGACTCGCTTATGCTTAACCCTCATCAGCAAACCACGACGTAGTTACAGTTTTAAAATGAAATGTTAGACCAGGCAACCAGAAATCGCCTAATCAGCACAAGTGGGATAAATCTCAGCCTCGGTCACTATTATTCTGTTTTGCCCCTGCTTTACCTGAAAGGAAAGCAACCTTGCATTAACCAACTCCCTTTGCCTCATATGACTTCCTTGTTCCTGCCCCCTCTGCCTAGAAAAGCCTTTCATTTTGTACAGCGTTAAACAAGCACTTAGCTTCCATTGCCAAAAGGCTTTTCTGAAAGAAAGCGTTCATAGAGCCACGTGATGGCCAGGAAAGGACCAGGTTTTGGATCATGACACCTTGTTAGAAATAAGGCGAGCCCCCCAATTCAGGGGTCCTGGTAGAACACAAAACATACTTGGAAGCCAGGCAACAAGGCAAATAACTTTTTAAAAAATATATTTTATTGATTTTTTACAGAGAGGAAGGGAGAGGGACAGAGAATTAGAAACATCGATCAGCTGCCTCCTGCACACTCCCTACTGGGGATGTGCCTGCAACCAAGGTACATGCCCTTGACCGGACTCGAACCTGGGACCCTTCAGTCCCCAGGCCAACGCTCTATCCAGTGAGCCAAATTGGCTAGGGCTTTCCTGGTTTAATTTTGAGACCCAACAGGCACCCTAAAAGGGTCCAGGAAAACTTTTTCCTTCTCTATACTCTGGTCTGTGTTACGCAAGGAATGGGAGCAAACCATGCTCTTTAGCTCCAAAGGGACTGTGATACTAATCTCTAAATGAGTAAGGATTTTGCTCTTTGAAAATTCATGTAACAATGGAAACAGCAGGAGTTGGGAGTCAGACAGAACCTGCAGCATATCTCTGGTTTGGTTCTAATTGAGCAAATGATTAAACCTTAAAGCTTCATGAATGGCATGGGTAAAAATGAATAATGAAAATTATGTTGACCTCCAACAAATGCAGAGAAGATTTGATAAATTAAGAGCATCTGCCTCATAGCAGGAACTTAATAAATATTAAGTCCTTCTCACTAATAAAATAAATATATACCTGAGAAATAACCATGTTCTAATATTTAAATGATCCACCTATCATGTTATAGATTACCTTCTTGGTTTACCCAGAATCTTACGCTAGACTTTGGGGGCAAATGGTAGAAAAGAATCTTGATTCTGTGAAGGACGTTGGATGTGAATTGGGAAGCAGAGAACACCCAGCTTGCTGAATTCCCACATTTGATGGCTGTCAGTTAAGAAAGTAATCAAACGGCGATTGTTTTCACTAAAATACACAGAAAGTTGCTGAACAATTAACATAAAAACAACAACAAAAGCACAACTGGTTAAGAAAGGCAGTTTCCTACTTGGAAGGCTGGTAGAAGCTGTGGAAACTCATCTTTATAACTATTAATTTCATGTAGAGGGATTTTTGGAATGATATGTGTTGTGCTGTTACGCATTACAACATATAATGTTGGAATGGATACAGCTTATGGAAGTCCAGGAAAAGGCATACACTTTGGGAAGTACAGGTCCAGACCAGGTCTAACTGAATGGTCCCAAATGCCATCCCTGGCTTCTGAAGGAGTTGACGGCCAGGCGGAGATACCCACCTCTCCTATTCACCCTTACTCCTTTTCCACCTCTCTATCACCTAGCAGCAGCCTCCTCAGTGCCCCCTTCACCTCTCTGTTTCGGAGGGTGTAGATCAGGGGGTTCAGGAGCGGGGTGACAATGTTGTAGAGGAGGGTGAGGAACTTGCCCTGGTTCTGGGAAGAGTTGTGCCCCGGCTGCATGTACATATAGATGATGTTTCCATAGAACAGTGAGACCACTGTGAGATGGGAGCCGCAGGTGTTAAAGGCCTTTTTCCTCCCAGATGCTGACCTTATTTGTAACACAGCCCTTACGATATAGCCATAGGAGACCAGGATAAACACCAGGGGTGACAGCACAATGCCCACTGCCAGAACAAAGACAGTGCCCTCAATCGCAGCTGTATTGACACAGGCCATCCGGATCAGAGCAGGCATCTCACACAAGAAGTGGTCCACGCTGCGGTGCCCACAGCGTGGTAAGTGCAGGGTGACTGGGGACATGGCCAGGGAGTTGGCCACACCACAGCCCCAGGCCAGCGACACTAAGCCCATGCAGAGGCGAGGTTTCATAATTGCCATGTAGTGCAGGGGATTGCAGACTGCAACAAACCGGTCATACGCCATGACGGCCAGGAGCAAACACTCTACGCCACCCAGACCCAGGAAGAGAAATAGCTGGATGGCACAGCCTATGTAGCTGATGGTCTTGTCATGCCCACTGAGATTATAGAGTAGCTGGGGGATGGAGCTGGTGGTGAAACTGAGGTCCAGGAAGGAGAGGTGGGTGAGGAAGAAGTACATGGGGGTGTGGAGGTGGGAGTCCAGCCGGGACACCAGAATAATGGTGGTGTTGCCCACAATGGTCAGGAGATATGCAATCAAGATGACCACAAAGAGGATCTTCTCCAAATGGGGGTGGTCAGAAAATCCCAAAAGGATGAAATTTCCCTGGGCACTATCATTGGTCCCATCCATCTCTACTGCACCTGAAGAAGAATAGCAATACTAGTAGTGGTCACAGACAATATAAGGCAGCACTTACTATGAACCAGGGATCCTCTATGCTTTTATACAGTTATTTGCGGGAAGCCACAGCTTGCCAATACTGTCAGTGCACCAAGGAACATGGAAGGCTGATGGACCTTGGGCATTAGCAGGGCTGATGCTAAGCACTGATTGTTCCTGTTGAGATAGGGGTGGCTCAAGGCAATTCCCTAGCCTGATAATCCTTTTACTGTTTACCAAACTTTACCTTTGATCTGCCTGTATGCATTGCTAAAGGCAAATGTGTATTCAAGTAAATAAAAAGCAGACTGGCCAGAGGTCAGTGTGCTCTTCATGAAAGAGACACCACCTGGCCCCCACCCCTTAATAATTCATATTTCTTGTCTAGTGTTTTCATTTGTGCGTCAGCCCCTCCTTCAGATCCTGAACCCAACCATTCAGGTCGCATCACTTATTTACTCATTTAACTCCAACAACAGTGATATGGAGTTGACAGTCTTATTATCCCACATTTACAGAAAAGGAAACTGAGGCAGATGTATTTTAAGCAAATGATCATATTCTAGAAAAGGCAGCGCTTATCTGAACCAAGGAAATTGGGCTCAGAGTCTTCGTCCTGCGCTGCTGGCACCGCTTGTCATTTTAATGACAGAAGCTAGTCCTGTCATGGCCCAGCCACTGATTTTTCTTGAAACACAATTTCCTGAGCTCCCACTAAAACCTCAAAAGCCCACAATGGAATCCCAGAATAATGAATTAATAGTATGTAGAAAATATCCATTAAATGAAGAATATTTTATTTGTTCTTTAACTCAAGGACACACCTCATTCATTTGACCATTATTCTTGGGGTAATTTTAAAGTACCCAAATAAATAAATAATATATGAGATAACTGAATATTACTAAAGCAACATACACATAAATTAACATCTCTCTCTCAATTTGGTCTGATTTTTAAGAAATCGAGTATATATATTTTTTCTTCCAAAGCACTATATACTGCTTGAGAAAAATAAGACCACAACAAGTAAGGCAACTTTAATGCAATAATGTACATACATGTGCAGAAACCTCCATCATATTGCAAAGCTAAGAGTTTATCACATGCAAACAAAGCATGTTTGAAGACTTAGAGCACCAGTCTTATAGACAACACAACACAGAGGAGTCAATTTAACACATCTTGTGCTGCATCCCCAACCCCACAGCTATAGTCCCTTAGCCAACAAGATCACAGAAAGCTCTTTACCTTTTATAGTTTTCTCATCTAAGATGGTAATCATCAAGCTACCTTATTTATTTTATAGATACTTTGATATTTTTTAATTTAATAGGTGGTGTTGCATAAAGCTTATGTGTCATATACACAGGAAATGGGAGACTAAGCCCATGTGACTAGGCAGAGAAACTCTGTATTTAACAAATATTCAAACAAACCGTGGTAAATGGGGCATTTGGGGTTGGGGAGTGTGACTCACTCATTCACTGCTTTCACCAAAACAAATAACAAATCAAATATTTAAACATTAGATATAACTATTATAATAAAGCACAAAAGTTGTTTCCTGATCATCTTGAATTTAGATAAGTCTCACTAGGCAAATTGCAATTCTCAAAAGCAATAAAGCAAAATATAACTAAATTTGCATATTTTTAATAATGCTACAAGAAACACCACTAAAAATATAAAAAATAATAAAAATACTAGAGTATTCAACATGACAATTGAAAGGCTACCTTTTTAATAATATTTTCAAAAAATTGTCAAGAAAATAAACATTTTTTTAATATTGAAGACTGAAGAATTTAAACTCCCAAAATATGTGGCTATGATGATAGATGGCAGGAAACAGGACCATGTTTTTCAGAGCAGGCCCATGTTTTGCATCTTTCTAGCTAAGAGTGACACCTCTCCATCACACCCACAGCTGATAATAAACCTTTTCAATGCTCTTCCTTTTTTTTTAAAAAAAAATGAAACACATCTCAGGTCTCATTTCCTCACACGCACTTGACAAACCTCAGTCTTTCTTAACAAAACAAACTCTAGTCCCAACATAAAAAAATAATAACTTTTATTTTGTGTTCTTTTATACTTTGTCTCTTCAGCACTTTTATATCTCACCTTTTAAAAAAATTTTGCACTAGTAAATTTGATCTGTTTTAATTAAGTAACATACATTGTGATGGTATGTGTTTGTCTATAGATTTGTGTCTAAGGTATATGTCATAATCCATACATTTTCCAATAGCAAAGGGTGTCGTTCCTCATTTTCTATTCCTTTGAGACATTCTATATGGCTTTTTAAATTGTTGACAGTATTACAGATGCTCCCCAGTTTTCCTCCCCGTCCGCCCCCCTCCTCCCAGCACCCGCCCCACTCCAGGCTTTCACCACAGTATTGTTTGTGCCCATTGCTTAAATTCTTTGGTAAATCTCTTCCCATCCCCCTCGCCCACCGAGGATTGTTCCATGTATCCTCTGGATCTATTTTGTTGGTCAGTTTATTATGTTCATTAGATTCCACAAATAAGTGAGATCATGTGATATTTGTCTTTCTCTGGCTGGCTTATTTCACTCAGCATGATATTCCCCAGGTCCATCCATGCTGTTGTAAAGGGTAAAAAATCCTTCTTTTTTTACAGTTGATAGTTTATCTATATGGCTTTTTAATTTAACCAACCAATAGAGAAGTGCAGTTTATAAACTGAGTTCCTCAATCCAGAAATCTACTCACAGTATTTACTTCTGTGCTACCAGGTTCCATTAAAAATCAGAAGTCGGAAGGTGCAGATCTAGCTGGGGGACCTCCATGCACGGGATGTCTTCTCCTCTCCTGGGTTCAGGCAGTTGCTCTACCAGGTGTAACTGCACATGTGGAGAAAAAAAAGGCACCTCTCCCGGCTGTAGCCCACGGCTCTGTAAATGCAATGGACCATGATGTTTGTGCAGGTGTATGGCAATGAGCCCCAGTGATGCTGTTTTCCTGAAAAAAGAATGGAGAGAGACCCTGACGGTGATCTGGGGTCATCCACAGCCCCACGCTCCAGGGAAACTTCTGGACCCATAGGGCTCATTAGTACATACACTGAGGTGTGCCATGGGCATGCACACAACAAATCCCATAGGCTCCAGGCAGAAAACGAGGACCGTGAGAATTTGTCCCTTGATATATTAAGGATTTATTACTTCATGAGAGCAAAGTTGGGACTCACGCCACTGCTGGGCCATTTGTTCCCTTGCCCTGCTCCCAAGAATTATGATATGTTTAAAAATCAATTGAGGCCTAGTTGGTCCCATCCTACTGGAACAGGATCATAGTTTGTGTTCTTTTCCTCTTTAGATCTACTGAAAATAAGAAGTGTTTGACATTTTTTTACTAAGAGTTTTATGCATAAAAAATGAATAACCCATTGTCCTAGATAGTGGAAAAAATTTTATGGGCACATTGATTAATATTATTTCTAATTTAAGGAACCAACAGGGTGAGCTATTTTATTTAATTTACTTATTTAGCTTTATTTGGGGATTTGAAAGGAAGATGTCATCATATGTCAGTTCAAACTTTTTTATTTCTATTTACTTTATTTCTTTTTATAATAAATTTACTAGGTGAAATTGGTTAATAAAATTATATAGGTTTCAGGTGTACAATTCTATAATGCATCATCTCTATATTGTATTGTGTGTTCACCACCCCAAGTCAAGTCTCCTTCCTTCACCATTTATCCCCCTTTCACCCTTTCTATCTCCCCCCATCCCTTTCCCCTCTGGTAATTCCCCTCTGCTGTCGTTTGTGTCTATGAGGGTTTGTTTTGTTTTGCTTAATCCCTCCAGTTTCAAAAACTGACTAGGGAGAAGTGGAGAAAATATCATAAACCCATGATTTATTATATTGTGTACATATGACTGTGGGTTTTTTTAAATAAATATTTTTTATTGATTTCAGAGAGGAAGGGAGAGGGAGAGAGAGATAGAAACATCAATGATGAGAGAGAATCATTGATCGGCTGCCTCCTGCATGCCCCACACTGGGGATTGAGCTCGCAACCCGTGCACATGCCTTTGACCGGAATCAAACCCAGGACCTTTCAGTCTGTAGGCCAATGCTCTATCCACCGAGCCAAACTGGCCAGGGCTATGACCGTGTTTTAATGCTCTTACAGAGGCAACTATGATATCACAAGGCTGAAAATTTAAATAATAATAAAGTAAATAAATGAATAATAATTGAGTCCTTGCAGTCAGCTAGGCAACATCAGAGCAAAATCATACTTTTTTGAGTCAACTAAGGAATATGTAAAAATAACTATTTGGGTGCTTTTGCATAGATACAGGCACAAACTCAGGATGTGAAGAGAATGCACCATGCAGGAGAGTGTGTAGAACTGTAGATGTGTAGCATGTGCAGCCCTCCTCCATCCTGCCCTCTTCCTCGTACAATGGAAGAGCTGCTCCCCAGAAACGTGAACGTAGGGCCAGTGCTAGGAGAACAGATGGGTTTAATAAATCCCAGTGTCCCCATTTCTCTGCCCTTGGGGACTGAAGAGTTTAAATTATTACTCTAAATTTGCTCAGTTCCTTCTACTGGCGAGTAAAGCTATTTTACTTCCTGCTCCCACCAGCTCCACATATCACCACTCTCCCAGTTCTCGTCATTTAGGGCCTTCCCACATGCTAGAACAATTAGCAATTTAGTTACATCACTTGACCAAACAGTCAGCCCATTGTGGGGTGAAGGTGGGTAAATGATCAAAGTAGCTATTTAAATAAATCATCCAGCTTCTGATAAACTGTAGACATAGAAACTAGAATCTAATGTTAGGGGGTGACTTTTTAATCATTCTTTATTAATTTAGATATTCTTTATAATAATGTGGGCTAGAAAAAAGGCCAGTGTATAATAACAGAGAGATGCACAATAGTAGGAAGTGAAGACAAGGAGAGCAGGCCCAGGGCGCCCTGTG